GTGTGGGTGCGTGTGCACGTATGCATGTGTAGGACGTGCATCTGTCTAGTTACCAGTGGGTAAGGGCACCTCGAAAGTACCACTGACTCTAACAGGCCCACCTAGAATCAGGAAAAGTGGGGACAACGTGAAGATTAGGAGAGACTGTCGCACTGTTACCTGTGGGATCATTTTCCTTCACCTGTTTCCTTTGTCAAAAAAAGGAGTAACTTTGCACCCTTTTTAAAAGAGAGAATTATTTGTCACTAACTGTAGAACCCTATCTCTTAGTTTTTCTTTTCCTTTTAACTTTAAGGCTGAGGATAAAAATGATGGAGAAGAGCAAGAAGTTCGAGATGACAACCGTCCCAAAGGCCGAGAGGAACACTACGAGGAGGAGGAGGAGGAGGAGGACGGCCACAGGGCTGCTGCTGCCGCCGAGAAGCCCCATCGAAGAGCTGAGATGTAGCTGAGCCCAGTCTCCAGACGGCGCTCGGCCAGCGGATTCTTTTCAAGCTGCTCCAAAATAAATCTGCCTACTGAACTCTAGGATATTTAATTACAAAAAAATTAAGAATTTAGACTTTTTTTAACTTTTGTATTAGAAATGCTCATACATTTATACACATATATTTTGATAACTTAGGTTAGAACTTTTATATTCAAGCTAAACACAAACAAGAAGAAAAACAGTAAAGCAAACCTTAGGCTCTGAATCTCATTTTTTTATAGATTATGTGATGTTGGAAAGAACATTGGTTTTGTGTATGTTTCAACTTGTTACCTTTCTGTATTCCAATTTCCCGTTGTTCTGTTGTTTGCTTTTGATAAAATACAGGATTTAAAAACAGGGAGTACTGCAAAATGCTGTGCAAACTTTAAGGAGAACGCCAGTTTACTAATTGCTGCCTTTGCAAGGTTCTTGTGTATAGTTCTGGTAGAATTTCCACCCATCTGTACGTCTCTGGAATGAGATCCACAGGGTGGCATACAATGGAAAAGCCATTTTTGTTGCAGAATAGAAATTATTTTGAGACTTTTAAGATCAGTTCGAAAAAGTTTGGTATTAATTAAAATCAGCTGTTCTGCTTGAGAGGAATTGTGTTTAAAATTGAGATAGTACTAAAACTCTTTTGGTAGTATCCTGGGCTTAATCAGATATTTCAGTGTTCAAACAAGGTATGACACATCAACATACTAACTTTCTTGAATAACTGATGACTTGTTAAGAAATAATCTAGTGTGTGAAGTGTTTTCTACATTAGCACCCATTCTTAATATCTTTTTTCCTGAAGTCACCTTATGATATCCTTCTTTTAGTATCTAGTTCTCTACAGTAATATATGATCCCCTCTAAGCTCTGTGTGCCTCAATATGTAATCACTTTGATGACAATTATGAATATGAAGTCATACCAAATTGTACAATTTAATGGGATTATGTTTCAAAACTATATGGTAAAGTATACATGGTGATATGATAGACCCTCAAGTTTTTTTATATGCTGGGATTGGGTTTCCTTTTTGCCTCTGTATAAGGCATTGTAATGATTATGAGTTATAACAAATCAATTAAAATAAAAAAATTAAAAAATTTTCCTCGGAATAGACACATATTTCAGTCACAAGCATAAAGATTTTTAAACTAGGTTATATAATTCATGTGTGTGGTTTTGTAATAATACTCTCAATAAAAACATTTCATTTTCTACCATGATTATATGAATGTTAATTTTATTCTTTAATAACCACACTCATGTATGGTTTTTATTATCCAAGTTGAGTGATGGTGTGTGTATACACAGAAATGTTTTGTTCCAATGTATTTTGGATTTCCAATAATCATGAATCAAATCTTACCTTTCTGTATAAAAACTCTTTATGTAATGTAAAATGTATAATATTGTATATAATATGCAGAATACAATTATTTTGATAAATTAGTTTGTATTTTTAATGTCCCAGTTGCAGTATTTAATTATTTGAATGATATTGAAACTTGGTAATAGTCAATAAAGCTATGAAAAGCAAGTGGTAAATTTTTTAAACTGATTTCTTATTTCTAATCTTCTAACATTCTTCAGTTTTTTCTTAAAAAGAAACATTTTAAGTACCCATATAAATTAATGAATTATAAAATGCCTTTCCTCACCTGTTCCTATTTTCCTTATCTTTCTCTCCTTGGATTGGCACATGATTTTTTTCCACCTTTTCTTAAAAAAAAAAAAAAAAACTAAAATTGTTAATTTTCTTTGAACTAGTTCTGGGGGAAGAAAAAAGAAATAGGGACAGAAAATATAAGAGGGTGTCATGTGCACACACACAAAATTTTAAAAAATTAAACCATTCCAGAAAAGCATCAATCACAAACCATTCTATTCTACATATAACACCAAGTTATTGGGCTGTACTAATATAGAGAGGAGAACTAAGCCTGAGTTGATAAACGTTAATGAGATGTTCAGAAATAAAATGTCACTTCTTTGACTTTTAGTGCAATGAGCAAGTCAAAGGATCTGGTGCCAGTGACATAATCCGAAGGAAAAAAAAGGCACATTTATAAGGAAAAATTACAATGAAGCACAAACTACATTAGTGCAAACATAATGGCTGGTCTTTTGCAAGAGTGATTGAAAAATATCTAGGAGTAAGACCATAATCTCAGCCAAGTGTAACAGTGACTCACTTTTATTAAAGAAACTACTGACTTTGAATACCTTCGTAGTACAGGGAGTGTGTGAATAGGATCCACTTTAATCCCTATAGTTCTTTGAAGCTGATAGAACCTCTTCTCACGACTGAGGAACTTTGTTTTCTGGAGCACCTGACATTGTTATAACTGTTTTGAGTTCTTAGTTTTGTTTTTGTTTTTAGTTCTTTTGTTATATTGTGTTACGTCAATACTATGGCATGCTGCACAGCCATTAAAAAGAGTGTGTGAGGTCAGTATCGATTCCTGAATCATCTTCCCATGACTTTTGTTGAAGTGTCTGCTTCTAGTTTTCTTCTTAGCATCCTGGCTACTCTGTCTTTTTTACAGGTTCCTCTTCTTATGACTGCCCCTGAGATAATGGTGGCCTTCGGGTTTTGTGCTGGAGGTCTTGTTTAACCCTCTTCCTTTCCATGTGTTATACGAGGGTACTTCACAAAATTTGTGGAAAAATAGAATTGGAGGATAAAACAAATGTTATGAACTTTTTGAAGTACTGTCATACACGGGTCTCCTTATCCATTTCCTCAGCCTGGCTTTCTATGTCCCATCTGTATTAGTCTGTTTTGTATTGCTATAACACAATACCTGAGACTGGGCTGGGAAGTCCAAAGTCCATATGGTGGTGGTGACAACAGTGATTCAGGGCTCTCACATTGCAAGATGGTAGAAGGAGAGAGGGCAGAGAGAGAGAGAGAGAGAGAGACTCTCTTCTTTTAAACCCTCAGAACCACACCCTGACCACCATTTTTAATCCATTCACTACTGCAGGGTCCTACGACCCAATTACCTCTTCAAGGCTCCACCTTTCAATTACCATAATAGGATTTTCCACCCTCTTAACAGTCACAGTGGGGGCTAAGTTTCTAATACATAAAACCTAGGGGACACAATTCAAGCTTCAGGGAGTTTGGGGGGGGACACAATTCAATCCACTACGCAATCCTACCTCAAATTCATAATTTTCAAAACTACATTTGCCTTCTTTACCACCCAAGATCTTCTCTTTCTAGGTTCTCAATTCACAATTCCCAAAACAGAAACACAGAATTTGTCTTTGATTCTGTCTTCTCTTCCTATAACTGATATCAAAATACCTTCAGATTTCCCTGCTTCTCTCCATCCCCACTATCCTGGCTCAGACCCCTGTTGTCTTTTACCTGGACTATAATAGTCCCCATGGGGGCAGGGAATCAAGATGGCTGAAGAGACACTCTCTCCCACAATCAACCCATTTACAACTGTTAAAAAGGAACGATAGCAAAGCTGGGGCCGCTAGAGCTCAGGGGAAGAGGAGGAGAGACGAAGTGCACGAAGGCAGGAGAAGCCACAATGAGAGAAAGAAAGGACTACTCTGACCATTTCAAGCCCTGGCTGCT